GACTCCAAGTAGTGGACGCCTGGATTGACTCAGACTAGGCTGGCACAAAGTCTTTAAGGGTCAGCATTTGTCAACTGTTCCCGTGAGGCCTGTCGGACCCTGCCGTGTCCCGCTGACTCCTCTCCTCTGGAATATCCACTGGGGTTTACGCAGCATTTGGAACCATTTGTCCCACCTGCCCCATAATCCGACCCCATGCGGCTGCTGCCCGTCGTCCCAGCTGCTCCTGTGGATCTGAACTCCCGGAACTCTGAATGTCATCACTCAGTGAAACCCGAGTATCGCGGTTCCACCGAGGAGTTCTGGTAGATTCAGCTCAGTAGATCAGCGTAGTGGTTTCTCCCCAAACACGGTACACGACTGCTGGTTCAACGCCCCTCTTAGTGAGACAGAGTGACTCGGACTGATGGGGACAGCTGGGTGGTCCAACATGAGGTCCTGCAGCATGTTTAATCAGCATAAAAAAAACCCAGGTCGTGTGTTTGTTGATCCGTTTGAGGCTGCAGCGTTAGACGGTCGCTGTTGTTCTGGACTCTGCTGTGTTTTCACGTCTTATCACCAACCTGAGGACAGTTTCCTGGCAGATCTAGATCAGCTGACATGTTGTGCAAACATTTGTGTGTGTGTGTGTGTGTGTGTTGGCACCGTGGGTTGAAAGGCATCCAGGGTCGTCAGCTGTTTACTCGTCCTTTGTTCCCCTGCGTCGTGTTGACAGGGGGCACCCACGGCCGCAGTATTAATGAGATTAGCAGATTACTGCGCCCCCCCGCTCCCCCTCCCTCGCCCCCTGTGGGGGGGGGTGCGAGCCTGCCTCACTTCACCACAGCTGGGCAGCCCTGCTCATTCAGGCTGTACCGCAAACAGTGGCACACGTGCAAATTATCATTTTTTCCTAATTACGATCATTTAGAAACTCAATATATTTACCCCCCAAAGGTCAAATCTTAAACAAATACCCCATCAGCTGTGACCTTCACACACGTGTGCATACGTATAGGCATTTCCTAGGAGCGTAATCCAGGTTTAATCCTGACGACTAATCAACAGGAGAACGGGGGAAAAACGTGAGGAAAGAAAGTAATACTTTAGAATCGGAGTAAATTCAAACTGGTGTAAATCTGTGAAGAAAAAAAACTCTCTCAAGAACATGACACATTGATTGTTTAGGCAGCACTCAAGAGCGCCCTCTGTAGGATCCTTAAATTGTATTAAAAGTTTTAGCAAGCTACAATAAATGTAACAGCTAAAAAAATATATATTTACAGTTTTTGACACATATGGACAGAACATCATATACTTTGGTGTCAAACAGTTTAGAAGAAGTAAAAGTTAAAAAAGTACTAATGTGTACAACTGTATAAGTATTTAAAAAACTGCAGTTTTCTCAGCTAACAAGTCCAGCAGCATCAACCTGGAACTCTCACGTCCAAATCCAACTGTCTGTCTCTCCTGCTGTCTCACTGTCCTGGCACTGGTTTCATAAAGAACACTGGTCTTTTGACTATCACCTCCTCCTCCTCCTCCTCCTCCTCCTCCTCACCCCTTGCCTCCCTCCCTCCCTCGGTGGCTCCATCCATCTCTCCGTCACAGACCCTCAGCTGTTGTTTCCTTAGCCTTGACACCCCACACCCGTCAGCCATTGTCAGGACGAGGACGGGCAGAATGGACCCGTTTGTTGGGCACCAGTGTTGGTTTGTGTCCGCGTGTGAATGTGGGTCAAAGTTAAGGGCCAACATCTGCTTCTCCGCCACGCGTGGCGCCGACACCTCGAACGGCGAGTTCGAGTGGAAAATCAGCGACGCATTTCACTTTAATAAAAAAAACGAAAAAATAATTTTCTCTACGGAGACGCAGACACAGAGCGGCGGTACCGATTATCGGGAAACTCAACTACATTTGTCTGTAAGAAACGGAAATCAGTGCTGCACCAATCGCCTTTAGAGCCAACGAAGTCCAATCAAACCGTTCCGACAGAAACATGACGTGAAATTCCAAGGATAAAAACGCTGAGTGGAAACTAATCTGGAGGTGACTCCCAGTGGAAACTGGAGCTGAAGTACTGAAGTAAACCAGGTCTGGAACCTGGACCTGGAACTTTATCTACTGGTACATTCTGTCATTTCCTCAGTCCTGGTTATTAAGTGTTGAAAAGACAAAGACTGTTTGTTATTTCCAGGTAATTATGTTGTGATTGTACTGGTCCGGAGTTCGACAGCCCAGTGTTTAACATGGTTCTGGTTCTCCTCTAGTTCCCGGTCCTTTTAGCACAGAACTGTTTGTGGATCTCCAGCTAAGGTACGGCTGTAAAGCCAAAATTGTAGCAGGATGTAAACCGTTGAAGGACAACATCAAATTCATCAAACATGGCCAAAATTCATCAACTGATCACTGAAAAAACTCATTGTTTTTTTTCTGGGGATTTTGTTTGAACGCTAAGAACTGATCTCTCACCTCTAAAGAGGCCGCGGCTCCGTGAGCTGTGGGTTATTTCAGTTTACTGCTGCTGCTGTAGGTGGACGGACAACCACAGACTGACAACAACGTCCTCAAAACACTGGACAACAGTAGTTGAAATAGTTTAGCTGTGCAGTAGCATGGATGCCCGTGCAGTAGTTTAGGTTTTTTTTTTAACGTATTCGTTTTTCTCTGTGTTTTTTTTTTATACGTGGTGTTGAAAAAGTTTTGTTTTTTGTTCTTTGGTAACTGGAAACCCTGAGAGTTTCTCTGTAGGAAACACACAATGTCAACAGTACTGTCAGCCAACAGGTGGCGCTCTCTCACACATCTAGTTTCAAACTGGGTTCATTTCATCTAGGGTCCTAGACTGTAGGGACACAGAATATGGTTTAAAAAAACCTGGGCTACAAACTAAAATCTTCTGCAAAGCTTAGCTGTAATGTGGCCCACATTCTAGGCCACATTTTGCATTGACCACAAAAGGCCTGTTATTTATAGCAGGGTGTAGGCCAAGTCAACAGTTCCTTTTTCAGCACCCAGACAGTTCCTCTGATCCGATAAAGTCTGGACTTTGACAAAATCTGTGCTGTGTACCAGCCAACAACTAAAACCATAGTTGTGGCCCACGACTGGGCCACATCACTGACACCGTCTGGTTAAGGCAACTTCCTCTTTTTTTCACCAGATACTGCAGAGAAATCATCAAGTCAGATCCCATCAATGGGTTTGTCTCTTCAGCGGACCAGCTGGAGGCACAAAGACGGCCGTTGTACGTTCGGCGTCTGTCGCAGGCTGCTCCGTCTCAGACCGGGTCTGCGCTCGTAGCAGACAGAACCACACAGTATCCAGACAATTCAAACCTCTGACATCACTGAACGTTGATAGAGACATTAATATGAATCTGTCCAGTGTCCTCGTGTCCATCACCAGGTCCAGGTCGTCCTGAACCCCCACCCCCACAACCCTCTCCAGTGTGACCGTCATAGCGTCACATGACCTGGTGTGACTTTTGTGAAGCCACTGAAACGTGTGTTTAGTACAAAAACAAATACTGTTGATAGAGAAAAAAATAGACTTGAAAAAAATGTGACTATTCCATTCATGTTGTGACTTTTTGTTCTTTTCCAGTTCGATGATGACGGTGTTTACTATGTTGACTATTTAATAAAGTATTGAGCCGAGACTCTGAACAAAAACATCTCCTTTTTTTTCCACCTTGGCTTCTCGGAGCGTTACATCTGCAGAACTCACACACACTTAACCAACGCCTCCTTTGTTCTCGCTCACACTACATGTGATATATTCCTCGCCTGCAGCCCTGCTAACTTAAAGAAGGCTATAAATTCAGCTAGCACATTAAAAAAAAAAAAAGGAGGTTAAACACAATGGCCCACAGATGGCCTTTTGGCTTCCTGGCAGCAGCCGCTGTGAAGCAGCAGAGTCAGACACCCTGAAATACTGTGGTCCAGAATCCACTCTGCAGCTTCGGTCCAGTCGGTACCAGCCGGAGAACCAGAGCTAAAACCTCACATTAGCATCTTGTAGCTCTCTGTGCAGTTAGTTAAAAACAAAAAATTAAGAAAAATGTTAAAACGTTCACATTGATCTACAAGTCGCATGTATTTATTTGAAATGACTCCTAGAAAAATCTGGAAAGAATTTTCACTTCCACCAAAACCAAAAAGAACAGAAGCTAAATATCGTATATTAGCATAAAAGGCTAGCAGGTTCCGAGGGTTCAGATTTTTCAGTGCTTGCTCAACACACCACAGCCAGGGTGGGATTCAAACCAACAATCCTCCGATAACCAGCGACATCATCTTAAAACTAGGCACCTAAAAAAAAAACGGCAGGGAATTGAACCCAGGACCTCTTCTGTTCACAACACGGGACACTTTAACCTAACGCAGCCACAGCGTTTCATTGGACAAATCTAATCAGTCATGGTCCGGCCCGTCACACCCAGAGGTTACTGTCTCTACAACAGCCATGACAGTGAAGTCACATGATCACAGACCAGTCGTGTCACTGGTTCAATGCCAAAAAAAAAAAGTCTATTTTTCTAATGAGAAAAGGTGTGCTACGAGTTTTAGCTCACGTGTTGCTAATGTCATAGACTGTACATAGGAAATGGACAAGTTGCAATAAATAAAAAAAAAAATTTAAAGATTAAAAATCATAATTTTTCAGCTTAGTTTCTGCTCAGGTCGTTGTCGAACTGAAGCTTCTAGAACAAGATTGTTGAAGACATTTTGAATCTGTTCCCAGTCTTGGACTTTGAGGAGAACCATATGCTGCCGGTCAGTGCTGAGGTCAGTGTCCAGACTGTGGACAGAGGTGAGAGCTGATGCTTTGATTATTGAAAAAAAAAAAAAAATAAAGAGGAACAGATGAAGAGGAAGAGTCGATGAAGAGTTACAGATGGCTGCCACACC